GGTCGGCTGTGGTGGCTCCTGCCAAATCCTTGGAACCTCACGAGGGAGGGGGGCGGTGCAGAGGGCTCTCTCTGAGGCCCCGGGAGGCTCACCCGGTTGCTTGAATGCGCAAGGTGGGGGAGAGCGGGGGAGACTCCCCCTCCCCCAAGGCAGCGACTCCTTCCTTCCTTCCTTCCTTCCTCTTCCTTCCTTCCTTCCTTCCTTCCTTCCTTCCTTCCTCTGCCCTGCTTCTCCCCTTCTCCTTTACCACCTGTAGTTTTCTCCCAGCGGAACATTTTCCTTGGACCCAGCTAGAAAGAAATGTCGGTGGCAGACTCAACTTCTGCCTGTTCTGGTCCCATTAATTGAAACCAGCAGCAGCAGCCTCTCCGCGTGAGCTCAGAGCCTGCCGGGGCTGCTGTGGGACAAAGTCTGGAAGCCGGGCCCTTTAGAGGTGCGTTGGGGCTGTACCGGGGAAGAGAGAGAGAGTGAGGTCTGTGCATCCGGCCTGTTGCAGATCCAGCCTGTCTGGGCCTCCTGCTTTTCAAGCCTCTCTGTTCCCCTTTATTTATTTATTCCTTCCTTCCTTCCTTCCTTCCTCTGCCCTGCTTCTCCCCTTCTCCTTTACCACCTGTAGTTTTCTCCCAGCGGAACATTTTCCTTGGACCCAGCTAGAAAGAAATGTCGGTGGCAGACTCAACTTCTGCCTGTTCTGGTCCCATTAATTGAAACCAGCAGCAGCAGCCTCTCCGCGTGAGCTCAGAGCCTGCCGGGGCTGCTGTGGGACAAAGTCTGGAAGCCGGGCCCTTTAGAGGTGCGTTGGGGCTGTACCGGGGAAGAGAGAGAGAGTGAGGTCTGTGCATCCGGCCTGTTGCAGATCCAGCCTGTCTGGGCCTCCTGCTTTTCAAGCCTCTCTGTTCCCCTTTATTTATTTATTTATTTATTTTTTGGGGGGGGAGGTTTCCAGTGAGAGAGTGAGGTCTGCAAGTTCACACTGGGGCGGGTTCTCTACCTGGCCCGGTTCCCTGGAGTCCTTTCTCTGCCTCCCCCGTTCCTGCTCTAAGAGCAGAAGCCATGTGAGTGCAGAGCTGGGCCTGGCCTTCCCTCTGCCCCCTGTGCACCCCTTGTCCCAGCCTGAGAGCCCCTATCTATACCTTGTGGCTAATCGCCTCTGATGGACCTCTGCTCCATATGCTTATCCGATTCCCTTTTGAAGCCGTCCATGCTTGTAGCCGCCACCACTTCCTGTGGCAGTGAATTCCAAGTGTTAATCACTCTTTGGGTGAAGATAGAAGTACTTCCTTTTATCCGTTCTAACCTGACCACTCAGCAATTTCATGGAGCGCCCACCGAATTCTTGTATTGTGAAAAAGGGAGAAAAGTACCTCTTTCTCTACCTGCTCTTTCCCATGCATAATCTTATAAACCTCAATCACGTCTCCCCTCAGTCGTCATTTCTCCAAGCTAAAGAGCCCCAAGCGCTTTAACCTTTCCTCATAGGGAAAGTGTTCCAACCCTTTTATCATTCTAGTTGCCCTTTTCTGCTCTTTTTCCAAAGCTATAGTATCCTCTCTGAGGTGTGACCAGAACTGTGTGCTTTGATTCACTCATCCTAATGTGCTTCCGACTTCCAAGACGATCGTGCTGGCAACCCTTTGGTTGCCCAGGGCCAGTTGATTGGAGCGTTAGCAAGGAGATGTCTCTGCCTCTCAGTGGTTCGCCCACAGGCGGTGGAAGAGTGAAGGGGAGACACCCGGCCTTGTATCCGTCTCCTGTGGCATCAACACACTTCTGATATAGGTGCTCTTTGTCTGTGATGCAGTGCTTTGGAACTAGTTCCCCGTCTGGGTGGTATGGGAGGAGCCGTCTGTTTCCCATAAGCCGGCGGCCACCTTTTAGGTACCTCTCGGTTTACAGTTTCAGTGTTTCACAGAACAAAGAGAACTTTTGTCTCCTCCTTCAGCCCTGCTCTGCAGACCCAAAGAAACGGAACCGGCAATCCTTGGGCATGAAGGCGTCTTAGACTTGTGGCTAGCGAGTGAGGCTGCGGAGGTCCAGAGTGGCCTCATAGAGGACTCCTTCCTCACCTCCAACAGTCATGGTTTACAGGAAGTATAGACATGCCGCAGGCATCTGGGGACTCAGCAGCAGCTAACCCCAACGGCTGCCTCCTTCCTGAAGAAATGGCGTCCTTGGAGACAGAGAGAGCTCCTCCTCCTTCAGGAGGAGGCTGGTCGAGATTCTGGTCATGTGTCTGCTCAGAATCCGTTTCCACGGGTGCTGTTTCTTGGAGGAAAGGTGTCCCACCCGAGAGAACTGAGCAAAGAGTCCAGTCGCACTTTAAAGACTTAACCAGATTTTTGGCAGGGGCGGAGCTTTCCAAAGAAGTGAGCCAGTGACTTGCGAAAGCTCCTCCCCTGCCACTAGTTTCGATAGTCTTTAAGGTGCTCTTGGACTCTGGCTCTTTTCCACTGCGGCAGATGGACTGACGTGGCCCACTGTCTCGATCTGCCACCTGGGAATCGTTGCTCCAGTGACATCTGGTCCCACCCCAGGATTAGCAGGTTTTTCCACATCCCAGCTGTAGTGACGGTCCCCACCCCTGCCACTAGCAAAAGGAAAAGGGACTTGACCTGAATATCCGTTCTTGGTGGGATAGAGGGGGGTGGGGGTACTGCTGGATCCCCTGAGGGCACCTGGTGTTTTTGGCCACTGTGTGATCGAGAGTGTTGGACTGGATGGGCCACTGGCCTGATCCAACACTGGCTTTTCTTATGTTCTTATATGGAGCAGAGGTCCACCAGCAGCTATTAGCCAGAAGGTATAGATAGGGACTCTGGGGCAAGGGATGCTCTGTATTCTTGGTGCTTGGGGGGGGGGGCAACAGTGGGAGGGCTTCTAGTGTCCTGGCCCCACTGGTGGACCTCCTGATGGCCCCTGGTGTTTTTGGCCACTGTGTGACAGACAGAGTGTTGGGCTGGATGGGCCATTGGCCTGATCCGACATGGGCTTCTCTTATGTTCTTATATGGAGCAGAGGTCCATCAGCGGCTATTAGCCACAAGGTATAGATAGGGACTCTGGGGCAAGGGATGCTCTGTGTTCTTGGTGCTTGGGGGGGGGCAACAGTGGGAGGGCTCCTAGTGTCCTGACCCCACTGCTGGACCTCCTGATGGCCCCTGGTGTTTTTGGCCACTGCGTGACGCAGAGTGTTGGACTGGAGGGGCCATTGGCCTGATCCGACAGGGGCGTCTCTTGTGTTCTTATGAGGTGGGGGTGTTCTCCCCACTGTGATTTTAGGACTACGTATCTCTGGCAAAGCTGATCAGGATAACAGCCTTAGGGGGGGTTTCCAGAGGTTGAGCTGTGTTGGTCTGAGGTAAAGAGCTAGATGGGAGTCCATTAGTTTGTTAGAGACCACAAGATTTGGGTGGGGGGGTGTAAATGGCTCTCAAAAGGTCAGAGTTCCCTTTGTCAGATAAGCTCGTTCATGCAAATACCTAACAAAGGGATCTTAGATACTCAGAAGCGTATTCACTCCAATCTACCCTTAGGGGGGCTTTGGCACAGACACTGTGCATGGAGCAACTGGTTTATGACGTGTAAATGTTGGCGAGACCTCCCTACCTCTTTTTCTTCAGTTTGCCGTCGTGGTTAAGTGCGCTGACTCTAATCTGGGGGAACCGGGTTTGATTCCCCACTCCTCCCCTTGCAGTTGCTGATGTGACCTTGGGTCAGTCACAAGCTCTGGCACAGCTGTCCTTGAAAGAGCAGTTTGTGTCAGAGGTCTCTCAGCCCCACCCACCTCACAGGGTGTGTCTGTTGTGAAGGGTAGTAAAGGGTGGGGTATAAATCCAATCTCCTTCACATGCCTGGGCCTTTTAAGGCTGTTGGGTTTCTGCTTCATTTGTGGTTCTTCCTAGTGGGGGGTTTTCCAGGACACAGTTGGCGCCCCTCCCTCTGGACCCAACCAGAAGTCCAGCCGCCCTGGCCCTGTGACCAGAGGAGGAGGTCACTACAAAGGGGGCATCCTTGCAAAACAATCCGCAGCCATCATTTCCCCTCTCTCCTGTGCACAGGCTCCCATCCTCACCAGCCCCCCCTCTCACTTTTGAAAGCTGATCCAGGGGGCAAATGGGCGGTGAAGAAAGCGAATGCGATCTTGGGATGCATTAACAGAAGCCTTGTGTCCAGATCACGGGAGGTGGTCGTTCCGCTCTATTCTGCTATGGTCAGGCCTCCCCTGGAGTCCTGTGTCCAGTTTTGGGCACCACATTTGAGGAAGGATGTTGACAAGCTCGAGCGTGTCCAGAAGAGGCCAGCCAGAATGGTGAGAGGGCTGGAATCCAAGTCTTACGAGAAAAGGCTGAAAGAGTTGGGTCTGTTTCGCCTGGGAAAGAAAAGGCTTAGAGGGAACATGATTGCCGTCTTCAGATATCTGAAGGGCCGTCATGTAGATGATGGAGCAGATCTATTCTCTCTTGCTCCGGATTGCAAGACGAGATCTAATGGGTGGGAATTACATGGGAGTCAATACTGGCTAATATGAGGAGAAACTTCCTAACTGTCAGAGTGGTTGAGCAGTGGAACAGTCTGCCTCGGGAGGTGGTGGGTGCTCCCTCGATGGACGCTTTCAAGCGGAGGCTGGACGGCCATCTTTCGGGTCTGTTGTAGGTATGTAGGGCCATCTTCCGGCTCTGCTCCGGCAGAGTGCAGGGGGTTGGACGAGATGACCTGCAAGGTCCCTTCCGACTCTTAACATTCTACGATTCTATGGCCGGGTTGGGCCAGGCCGGCCTGATCTCACCAGATCTGAGAAGCTAAGCAGGGCCAGCCCTGGTTGGCCCTTGGACGGGGGGCCACCGAGGAAGTCCGGGGTCGCCATGCAGAGGCAGGCCATGGCAACACCACCTCTGAGGGCTGGCCTCCGTCGGAAACCCTAAGGGGTCGCTATTGGTCAGCTGCTGCCTGAGAGCACCTTCCACCCCCACCCCCCCTCAGGGGGCAACGGCCCTTTCAGGGTATCCAATACCAGGCTGCATAGGAGCTCCGGTAGAGACTGCCCTGCCTGTGAGAATGGAGAGTCACCGTGAATGAACAGATCTTCCTTTCCCCGTCAGGGTTTCTAGTCCTCACTGCAGTGACAAGATTGCAGGTTCCTGGGCAGCAGCGGGCAAATGGGCAGGGCAGGACAATACTGGCCAAAGAGGACTTCATGGAATCCTAAGAGCTGGAAGGGCCCGTGCAGGGGCCATCTAGTCCAGCCCCATAAAGCATCTCTGACCGATATTCCTCCAGCCTCTTCTTGGAAGCTGCCAGTGAAAAGGGAGCTCACCACCTCCCGAGGCAGCAGCTGATTCCACCTTTGGACCACTCTGACCACCCTACACTATTAAACCCGGGGGTTTGCTGCTCCTCTCCATGTCCAGAAGGAGATTCGTGCAGCTCTGATGGTTTTGGGGAGCCAAGTCTGGCAGATTCTAATTTGGGAGAACCGGGTTTGATTCCCCACTCCTCTGCATGCAGCCAGCTGGTGTGACCTTGGGTCAGTCACGGCTCAGAGCTGTTCTCTCAGGGGCAGTTCTCGGAAGAGAGCCCCACCTACCTCACAGGGTGTCTGCTGTGGGGAGGGGGAGGAGATTGTAAGTCGCTCCGAGACTCCGAGTGAAGGGCGGGGGATAAATCCCGTGTCTGATCTAAGAGGGTCAAGCTACAGGTAAATTAATACAAAAATATATATAGAAACGTTTATTGGGGTGTACACATAAATAAAACATGAAAAAGGTTACAAGAAATAGTCTAAATATCAGACTCAAAGAACATATTTCACTCAGAACTGATTGTTATACATATCCAATAGACGGGTAAAACGTTTGGCCTAAGGACCCCATACGCGTTTTGGCCCCTTCGGGCCTTCCTCAGTGGCCAGTATTCCTTATTTTACAATGACACACATCCAGAAATACATGCATAAAGAATGATATGTATGTATGTATATGTGACCAGGTGTTGCTTTCTTACATGCTTTACAGTTAATTGCAAGTTTATATGATGGGCCACGGATAGTAGCTGTGCAAATTCACCCAATCATTCTGGTATCCAATATTCCATTCATCAGGACATGTGTCACCTCCATCGAAGGTAGTGGTCAACTTGTGTGTCATTGTAAAATAAGGAATACTGGCCACTGAGGAAGGCCCGAGGGGGCCGAAACGCATATGGGGTCCTTAGGCCAAACGTTTTACCCGTCTGTTGGATATGTATAACAATCAGTTCTGAGTGAAATATGTTCTTTGAGTCTGATATTTAGACTATTTCTTGTAACCTTTTTAATGTTTTATTTAAGTGTACACCCTAATAAACCTGTAGCTTGACCCTCTTTAGATGGCAGCTTCATTTTGGGTTGAGTCCCCCCCCCCTTTCCCCCCCCC